TTGTAAGATGGAAAAGTATCATCGATAAGAATGGAGACTATTTCATTTAATATATGGTTTGTTTTTCATCTAAAAAAATCGACATTAGTTTATTGACGACCTAATACAATTTAATGAAAGAATAATAGACGTTGGCGAAATATTTATATCCTTATACGGTAATTGTTTAAGTTCAACCTAGCAATGAAAAATATCGCGCGTTTCCAATTGTTTAAAGGTTAAAGATTTGTTTGTGTGTTGTTAACCACGAACCTACACAATGGGCTATTTGTACCCATCATGGGTATCGAAACCAGTTTTTAGCGTTATAAGCCTTAGATTTATTACGAAATCACAGGGGAACATCTAACAAAAAAAAAAATGTGTGTTTCCAACTGCTTTAAGGTTTATCTATTTAGCATAGGAAAATATGACGTGTTTCCACTTTCCGTTAGTTTTAAAAAATATGTTGGTCCACAACGCCCTCTTGGTAACATCTTATTGGAAGATACCCTTAAAATTTAATCTTAATTTCAGTGTATCTGACAAATAACTTAAACTTAACCGAAAGTTAACAATCGTTAGGATGTCAGATTTGTTTTATTATGAAAATGAAAAACTTACGGATATTAAACGGAATTCAGACAAAAGATATTTCAGTTTGGCGGTATTTTACTTACGATAAATATATTGCTGTAATAGATGGGGCTTCTTAGATGACTCTGAAAGATGCCAATCCACGCTGGTTGAATTATGTATACAATGTACGTCAATCGACTAAGGGGAGTGAAGCCTTTCCAACTGAGGAAGCTGTTGATGATTCCTGGAGGGGGAAAGGAGTGGGAAAAAAGTCACCAAACGATTGTTTCAAAAACCAACGTCACCAAGCGATTATTTAAAAACACCAACGTCACCAAACAAACATTTAAACACCAACGTCACCAAAAAATCATTTAAAAAACCAACGTCGCCAAACGATCATTTAAAAAAAACCAACGTAACCAAACGATCATTTAAAAAATACGTCACCAAACGATCATTTAAAAAACCAACGTCACCAAATGATTACTTAAAAATCCAACGTCACCAAGCGATTACTTAAAATAATCAACGTAACTAAACGATCATTTAAAAATCCAACGTCACCAAACGATCATTTAAAAATCCAACTTCACCAAACGATCACTTAAAATTCAACGTCACCAAACGATCATTTATAAATCCAACGTCACCAAACGATTATTTACATCCAACATCATGAACATATTATTTAAAATATATTTTTCTAGGTGGACACTGTTGAGTAACTAAAATACAACTGAAAAAAAAAACACTTAACATTTACTTATTAAAAATAATTGAAAAAAAATGCAGATAATTAAAAATTCAAATATATGTTTTATGTCTATTTGTGTTAGATTTTCATCGCATCCTTAAGAATTCAAAAAGTTGAAATACTAATGTAAAAACAAAACAAAACAAAAATTTTCCTCCAGTGGAAATTTCACTTGAATAACTGAGACTATGATGTAATATCAAAAATCGTCTCTAAAGTTCCATCAAACAGGATAAAATTTTACTTTGATTTCCGGTAAAAAAAAACAATAAAAAAAAACAATGCCTAAAAGCTGGGTTTCTTGGCGAAGATCGGTAGTTGGAATAAGTAGTTAGCCCGTAATAATAATAATATTGACGATTTAACTAATGAAGTGTATTACGTAAAGGTTAGATTAAAGAAAGTGTTTTACAATATAATTGTAAGTACTACAAAGAAACAGTCATATTTTGATTTGCACTAAATTAATTTTGTAAATAAATTAGCTAGCTCCACCTCCATATCCATACACACAAGCTATTGTCAGCCAGGCCAAACCCAGAGACCATCCTAAGCGACACAGAGCAGCGTAAACTGTAGCGGTTGTCTTTGTCGGGAAACTACTGCCGCTGTTCCATTGATGTAGACCAAAAACGATGACCAAGTTGCATGCTACGGCAGCGCTCCATCCACACAATGCCACGATCTGATACGGTGAGAAAAATTTCTTTATTAACACAAAATCAAAAACCTTTTCCTCCTCTTATAATACAGGGTAGCCCCCTCACCCCAAAAAAAGGAATCGGGACTATGTGTAGAAGTAGCAATCCCTATCCAAGTACCACGCTTCAATTAAACAGGAGAGTAAGTTAATATTTTCCTTACCTGAAAATGTATTTCGGATACGAAATATCACACTATCATATATACACAATAGGTATTACCTTCCAACACAAAGAACATGTATTTCAATAAAATAGGTAAACTGTACAGTGACTGAAAGAAGTGTTACGACAGTGGAAGTCACGTGACTCT